AGTGGACTGGTTGAGGCCCTGCCCCCCGCCCCCCTCAATCCCAGACAGAAGCTGTTCACTGCTTCCAGGGGTTCGGGCGAGTTGGGGGCCAGTGGGGCCACAGGCAGCGCGGGCGATCATGGCCAGGCCCGTGCCTGCTCCCGCCGTTTGTGGGGTGCTTGGTGACGGCGGCCGGAAGGACTTCAGTGTGAAGCCGCCCGGAGGTACCTCCTGGCCCCTGAGGGGGTGCTGGGAGCCCCCGAGTGGGGACTGAAGGGAGCGTCCTGCGGTCACGCCACGGTGGGGCGCGATCATCCTGCGGATGGGATCTTCTGCGGTCACCCTGCGGTTACCTCATGGTGGGGCGTGATCACCAGGCTGTAAAATCACGGCGCCCCATGCTCGGCCTAGCCCCACCCCGCGAGGTAAAGGAGTGATGGAAGCCCCATTCCCAGGCCAGCCCCCTCCCCGTGGTAAAAGACGGTGGAGCAGGCCCCTCGGGCTAGTCCCTCGGGGTAAAATGAGAGGAGTCCGATTCTCAGATAATGAGAGAAGCGGGATTCTCAGGCGAACTCCCTTATCCCAATCCTCACCGTTAGTCCCTCGTGGTAAAATAACGGTGTAGAGGATTCTCGGGCAAGCCCCCACACTGGGGGCCAGATTTCACCTGCTCGGACACACCTAGACCTTGGAATTCACTGATCTAGATGACGCCAAGTTCTTCATTCTGACACAGAATTTCTAGAACTTTCTGTTCTGGCCACATAAGAGTGAATGGATGTCCTTTGCTCACTTCAGTGCGTTCCCTTCCGCTCTGCTGGCCTCACTCGCAACTCGATTCCCTACCAGCCTTATAGGACGGTAACATTGCCCGTTTCAGTTTTCGAGGCTGTAAATCTTTTTTAAAAAGGAACAGCCAGCCCCTTCTTTATGCTGTGGAACGGCTGGTGAGTTGGCTGACCTTGTGGTTGCAGTTCAATGTGTAGCCCACACACCACCAGAGCTCCTTGAGTTACAGGGTCCGTTATTTCAGAAGTAGATGGTCAGCCCTGCTGTTGTCCATCCGGGGCAGGCTGGTAAGGGTTCCAGGCCCTTCTGAAGGTAGAGGGGCACTTGTCTGGAGTATAGTCCATGGGCCGACTTTGAAGCCTGGCTCTGCTTCTGCCCAGCAGGGACACCTTGGGCAAGTTATACCCGCTCTTCAGTTTCCTCCTCTTAAATGGGCAAAAACATACTGCCTACTTCCTTGCTTATTGTGAGGGCCGAATAGGTTAACTCATTAGGCAAGTCTCTGACACAGGGTAAATGCAGAATAAGTAAGCATTAGTGTTAATCATCAGCATTATTAATTCATTTGACTCTCACAGCACGAACATTTTAGCCCCTTAGCTTAAAATGTTCTTTCTGGCTCCTCTTGCCCAACTAGCCCTCAGCGTTCCAGGATTCAGCTTGGGCTCCAGGACTCTTCTCCTGGCTCTTTCCCCACTTCCAGCCGCCGCCCTGCCTGGCCCAGGTGCACCTCCTCTGGGCTGAGTCATCCCAACACAGCTGATCTTGTCCTTTGACCCTACATTGGAATCACCTGTCTGCCTTCCTACCAGATGAGAGCAGGGGCCTGGGTGGGGAGAGGACTGCAGTTTCCTACCACGGGGAGGGGAATCACCTTTCACTGGGAGCCGGGCTAGCAATCCATAAAATTCTCCACATACATGTATTGCTGGAATGGCCCCCTCACAGGGTCAGTTCTGTGATGCCCTGAGACTCAGGTGTAGTTAGGTGTAGTTAGAGTTAGATCTCCTGGGAGATCTCACGGCCCTTTGTCTGAGGAGAAAGTCCTCCCGGGGGCTTTCCCACAGCAGAGGGTTGTTCCTCGGCCAGGAGTTTTGAGGGAAGACATTTAAAGTGACCAAGGGGCTCCTGGGTTCCCACAGTGGGGTAGGTGAAAGGCACTTGGTTGGGAGGATTGCCCCAGGGGTCTGGCCCCCAAGGGCCCCATTTTTCCTTCAGAGACTAGGGCTTTCCCCCTCCACAAAGACCCTCTCCCTCCCCCTCCGAAACACTCACACCCACACCTGTTGGGCAGGGCTATTTGCCCCACTAGGAACAGAGGGTTCCACAGACTCAGGCATGGCAGGCCTGAGTCAAGCAGATGCTATTTGCCTGACACTTCCGGGTCTGGAGAGGCAGATGGTCATGTGAAGGCTTATCTGTGATGTCAGAACTTGGGAGTAGAGGCAGGACCCAGTGGCTGGATAGTCCCGCGGGGAGAGAATGGAGGAGGGGCAGAGACCCATGCCAGGCCTCAGGTGGGCCCTGGGAGAAACCCATTCGCCTCCAGTGCCTGTATGCATGTCTGTGCCTCTCTGTGTTTTGACCATGTGTGAGTCAGTCTGTCTGTCTGTCTGTGTCTCTGCAGTTCTTTGTATACGCATGTGTGTATGCAGCACCACAGACACCTCTGCTCACTCGTTCTACCATGTCATGTTGTTTGAGTGCGGAGCCCCCTCTGCCCAGTTGCTCTGGATGGGTGATGAGTGAGACCCTTACCTGGCCTGTAATTCTTACCTAGTGCCTGTGGTGGGAGAGGTGTCTTAGGCCAGGGAACTTGGCACGTGCCATGCAGATGAGTCTCTGGACATACGGGGTGTCTGGTGCTTGCACACACCCGGAAGCATTTGGGACCGTCTTGAAGACCACTGTACTAGAGCGACGTCTTTGCAGGAAGGGCTGCAGAAACGGCCACAGCCTGTCGACACTGCACAACCAGGGCGTGCTGAGGGCCCATGGCGCAGACCTCCTCAGCTTCCTCGAGCTCTCCCAGCTCCTGTTCCAGAACGACCCCTGGCTGCTGCCCGAGGTGAGCGCTGGTATTGAGGAGGCAGAGGCTGCCCTCTGTCTCAGGCAAGGTGGCTTGGTGATGGCTGAACACCGCCAGGAACGTAACTGACGTCACTGAAGTGTACATGTCGCTGGCCCAACTGACAAGGCTTATTACCTCTGTATGTGTCCCCCACACAAGTGTCTCAGCCACGGGAGTCTGTCTGAGTGCTTGGGTGCCTGTGGGTTTTCTCTGGTGCAAGGCACCTTGAGGCTGTCCCTCCACCCGGCATTAGTGATGTCCTTCCTTGCAGGCTGCCATGTCACCTGTGATGTCACAGCTCCATTTAAGGTGCCTTCCTCACCCTCCCTCCATCCCTAGGTCTGCCTCCATTACAACAAAGGGGAGGGGCCCCATGGCTCTTGCACCTATCAGATGCAGTGCACCAAGCTCCACATCTGCCAGTACTTCTTACAGCGTGAGTGTAAGTTCGGTGTGAGCTGCAAGCGGTCCCACGACTTCTCCAGCCCCGAGACGCTGGCCAAACTGAAGAAGCTGGGCATGAGCCCTGACCTGGTGCGCAGGCTGCCTGCCATTTACAGGAACGCATATGACATCAAGAACCGTAGCTCCAGCCCGGACACCGTGCTCCCTGGCTCCCAGGCCACTTTGGGTGAGACTCGGGTGGGTGGGGGGGTGTTGTGTGTGGGTGGATTCTGCAGGCAGGGGGTCTCTGGTGGGCTTGGGGTGGGCTGTCTGACTGTGGGAAGGCTTCATCTGGAGCCCTGGTGGGGCTGTGAGGTAAACAAGCTGGCTGTTCAAATCCACCAGCCGCACCTCGAGAGAAAAATGAGGCTGTTCCCATAGAGACTCACAGCCTTGGAAACCCACTCTGAGCCAGCATGGCTTGGATAGCAGTGGGTTTTGATTTGGCACTCCACCTAATAAAATGGAGGTGGCGGCCCTCCAGTACGTAGAGCGAATCAGGAGGACGGCAGTCAAACGGGAGCTCCTCAGGAGGCCCAGTTGGGGGTCGGCAAACTGGCTTGCACGCCCTATGCTGCTCTTTGGGAGGTACAAGTGGCTCTGAGATAAATTGAAAATGTTTAAAGGATATTATTCAGATAATGGTGATTTCATTTGTTTATAAAAATATATTGATAGTTTTCAAGTTTTTCAGTTGTGAGGGACAGGATTGGCTCTTTAGTTTCAATAGTTTGCCCCACCCCCACCCCCATTATAGATGAATGGGCTTGGTGTAGACCATAGGTTCCCTGCTGCCCCCTTTATTACTTAGTGCACCCAACACCTCAGCAATCTTCTGGACGACAGCCTGTGATGCGGGAAAACGTGTGGGATGTGCTTTCCAGCCCCGCTCGCTGTCCCACCGTCCCCCAGAGGCGGTCTCGCCCACTTGGGGAAGCCGTGGTGTAGGTGAAGCTTGTATTGAGGCTTCAGTCTGGTCGCTTTTGGAAGGAGAACTCTTGCTCTCCCCACCCCTTTCATTGAGGGGCCCCGGGGCGTGAGCGCCCTGCCGCCACACCTCCAGGGGCAGCCTTCACACCGAATGCAGTAGGCGGACTCTGACTGGCAGTGGCTGTCTTTCTGACGCGCACAGATGGACTTCTCTGGGCCAGTGGGATGTGTCCGCCTTGTGCACAGCTCCTGGCAGCCCCTGGCCCGAGGGGCTGAGTGAATGAGTGTGCTGGGTGCCTCCTCCTCTGAGCAGTGCTTGTTGAATGATAGTCTGTAGTGTGCAGGTGAATATGTCCCCTGGCAGTTCATGATGCACCAATACCCTTGGATGCCCCTCGTATTAGAGACTCGTGTGTACTGAGTGCCAGACACCACACGGCCGGTGATGCTTCAGTGAGCCGGGCGCCTGCTGGAGAGATGGGGCCATGTCAGGACATCAGCCGGCAAACTTGTCACACAGTGTTTTCTTTCTTTCTTTCTTTTAAAAAATCATTTCCTTGGGGGCTTGTACAACTTTTATCACAATTCATCCATCCATCCACTGTGTCAAGCACGTGTACATTTGTTGCCATCATCATTTTCAAAACATTTCTTTCTACTTGAGCCCTTGGTATCAGTGTCTCATTTTTTTACCCTCCCCGACCCTCCTTCTCTAATGAACCCTTGATCATTTGTAAATTATTATTATTTTTTCATGTCTGACACTGATGTCTCCCTTCACCTACTTTTCTGTTGTCTATCCCCCTGGGACGGGGGTTATAGGTAGATCATTGTGATCGGTTCCTCCTTCCACCCCCACCCCTCCATCTTCCTCTTTCCCTCCTAGTATGGCTACTCTCAATATTGGCCCTGAGGGGTTCATCTGTCCTGGATTCCCTGTGCTTCCAGCTCTTATTTGTACCTCTGTACATGCCCTGGTCTAGCCGGATTTGTAAGGTAGATTTGGTCACCCAGTGTTTTCATCTGACTTATAATTAAACCTTTCCTGGGGAGGCTGGGGTGGAGAGAGAGAAGAGTGTGTGTGTGACATGTTTCAATTCCTTTTTCCTATAAGTGTCTTGGAACTATTGGGCACTTACCTACAGAGAGGCTCTAGAAAGCTTGCCGGTTGGATCTGGCCTTATTGGTAGCTGGGGCGCAGCTAATGAATGATCTACAGTATCAAGTCACTTCTGACGCATAGCAACCCTGTCTATAGTTTCTGATGCTGTGTTTACGGGAGCAGACAGCCCCGCCTTTCTCCCCCCAAAGTGGCTGGTGGGTTTGAACTTCTGGCCTTGCTATTAGCAGTCCTGTACTTAGCTGGCAGTACCACCAGGCTTCTTGCTGAGTGAATTCAGGTTCAAAGAACCCTGGGGGTGGTGACCTTGAGGGTCTCTCAGGGAGGGGGCAATATCTGAAGGGTCGTGGGAGGAAAAGGAGGATGAGTAACATAATGTCGGTGACTCTTGGGCTGCCGCCGCCACCTTCCCTCTATTTTTCCAGGCAGGGAGTGGGCTCTTGGATCATTTCCATTATGAACCCCCAAACCACAGAACACACCTTGCCAGCAGCCCATGCTGACCCTCAGAGGTGCTGTGGGACCGAGCGGAATTTCCTCATGGGGCCTCCTAGGCTGTAGTCTTTGTAGAGCAGGGGCCCAGGAGGCGAACTGCTGAAGTGCTCACCTGCTAACGTAAGCGTTAGTGGTTTGAACCCACCAGCCCTTTGGAGCTGGAGGTGGCAGTGTGCCTCCCTAAAGACACACAGCCCTGGAAATCTGACGGCAGCTCTTCTGTCTTCCAGGGTCATTGAGGTCGCATTGACTCGCTGACCGTGGGCTTTTGTTTGGCTTTAAAAACATCTCAGATGCAGACAGCCACATCTTTCTCCTGCCAGAGAAAGCAAGCGCAGGCCTGTGATTCATTGTTGATCACCTCACCAGAGGGCCACCAGCACTTCTTCCAAGGTTCCTAAACAACCCAGTCAAGAAGTTTTGTTTGGGTAGATGGCCTTGCCCCTTGTATTAGCACTAGATTCTCATCAGCCATGAAAAGAGGACCCTGATGCCGTGGTGCCAGCTCTGGGGCTTTAAAACTCTCATGTTGCAAACGGAGACTTCCAGGCCTTTCTTCTCAGGTGCATCCAACCTTTTGTTAGCAGCACAGAGACCCCAACAATCAACAAGAAGCTTGTTTTTAAACAACCAAATCTAGTTCATGAAAAGGTGGCCCCTGGGGTCCTGACAACTGTAGAGATGGTGGAATCTTAAGGTGTTTCTCCTGTGGGGTAGCCCTAGCTCACTGCAGGGAGGGGTGGGAGGTGGGGGTGGGGTGGGGTGTCATTTCTTCTTACAAGCCTTCCTCATGGTGATGGTGGAGGAAGCCCTCTGACAGCACAGGATTGGTCAGTGGCCCTGCAGTCTCCGGCTCCTTGGCTCCGCCCTGCAAGGTTGTGGCCTCTGTGTCCAAGGGTGCCTTGTCCCCACACTGTTGGGGGTTGGGCTTTGTGAAGTGCTCTGACCACTCTTGCCCAGTGCAGAACGATGCATGCGGCTTCTCTGCCCACTTACCCCCGGCTGTGCTCTGATAGTGGTGGACACATCTCTGTGCTGTTCCTCTGTAGAAAGAAGAGAAGCCTCAGGTTCCAGGCCTTCAGGCTCTGCCATCCAGGATGAGAGTGACCAGATCTGCTTATACTACATCCGGAAAAGCTGCAGCTTCCAAGGTAAGTCGGAGTAAAGGCCCTCATTCCTCAAGCGGTGGGGTGGGGGGCTGCCTCTGATTCTCACTGCTGCCCCCTCCCCAGAGAGGATCAGGCCCATGCCTGGCAGGGAGTTGGGGGGGCCCTTGGGCTGTTTGGGAAAATTGAGGTTTAGTTCAGTTTGGGGGAACAAACATTTGGTTCACTCATTGAGTGCCGAGTGTTGCCCCTCGACCAGCTTAGTGCAGGGCTGTACCCCTGCTCTGGACTGGTGGGAGGCCTGCGATACCAGGGTCATGTGTTGTGGGTCTGGGGGGTGGGGGCTTGATGTCCCCTCAGCCTAGAGAAGCCCCCTGCTGGAGGAGGCCTCGAGTGGGGCAGTGGGAGGCTTTCTGACTTGGTCCACACTGCGGTACCCCCTTCCCCCATTGTAAGAAGTTGCAGTTCTTGTGTGGATATGTAATTTGACGAAACCTTTCCTTCTTACTGCTTCCCCCGGCTTTGACAGAGTTCTTTTCAAGTTCAGTAATTCCTCCTGAACACCCAGGGTCTGTGTTTTTCACCTTCAAACACTACCTGGGCATGCACAGTTACACCCCCCAGCCAAGCCTGGAGCCCTGGGCCGTCCCCCCCAGGCCACGTGGCTGGGTGCTCTCTGATTTCTAAGGTAGTGCACATGCACTGTCTCAGCTGCTGCTGTTGCTGACATCCTGTGGGAGGTTGTTTCCACATCAGTGCACTTCCTGAGCTCATCTTCCGAACCAGCGGTCGCTCTTCTAGCCTGGTGGCGCTCCCCTGTGTGTCCCTGTGCACGTGTATTTCCATAGGACGGGCCGAGGAATGCAAGCCGTGTGTGTTGTGTAGTGGTTATGCACCCAGCTGCGAACTGCCAGGTCAGAGTTTGAAATCACCATGCCGCTCTGCGGGAGAAAGGTGGGGCTCTCTCCTCCTACAAAGAATTCCCGTTTTGGAACCACTGGGCAGTTTTCGCCCTGTCCTATGGGGTCACTGTGAGTAGGCGTCAACTTGATGGCAGGGAGTCTGGCTTTGTTTTTATGCACATGGACAAGGTCCCCAGGTGACACGGAAGATGGATGCTCATCGACCAACCCAAAGGTGAGTGGTTCAGACCCACTCGCAGTGCTGTGGAGAAAGGCCTGGCTGTCTGCTGCCACAAAGATGGTGACTCGGGACTCCCTGCAGAGCCACCTGCTCTCTGAGACGGGGGCTGCCAGGAGTCGGGATGGGGTAGATGACGGAATTGGGCTTGGTTTTGGCTTTCCATACGTATGTATATATATTTAAACACAACTTTATTGAGATACTATTTGCACGTGAGAATAGACTCCCGTTCCAAGCTGTGGTTCCTGGGTCTGCCTGGGCAACCAGCGCTATCACCGAGACAGGGAGCAGTGCCCTCCCTCCGCTGAAGCCTGCGCGTTCACCCCGGGGCCACCAGGCCAAGTGACTGAGGTGGCCTGTGTGGCACTCTGCTTTGGGCACCTCCTGACTTGTGTGAGGTGGGGCTGCCACACACAGTCTTCTATGGCAGTGGGCCTACAGTGCCCCTGTGGCCCTCATGTCCTTCTGGGAGGTCTGGCGTGGGCCCCTCCCCAGTGGACACTGTCGGCACTTGCGCCTGGTTCCACTGACTCAGCATGTGGGTGCTGGCACGCCCAGTGAGGCCTTTCTGCCGACCTCCCCAGGACCTGCCAGACCAGCACCAGCCAGTTGCCCAGCATGACCTCTGGACCCAGCTCCTAACTCCAGTCTTAATCTGTTGGCCTTGGCTTGGCCCAGCTCTAGGTTCGTGAGAGTCCAGCTAGCAGGCCTTGGCCTGTGGGCTTGCTCTGTTTCCCAGAGCCATGGCTGTGGAGTGGCCTCTTAAACTGGGGAGGCAGCCTCCAGGGTGGGGCCCTTACTCCCTGAGCCTGCCTGCCTGGTCCCCCACTCACCCCCAGGAACACCTCCCCTTTCTCTTTGGTGATCTCCCCTCCCTAGCCCCATTCTCTTCCTAAGGAATCTGGAATGGCCCCTCAGGCTTTAGACAATTTTAATTCTTTTTAGGTGTCAAATTAGCCAAGCTTCATTACTATTGACTTGAAAGTTACAGATAGACAGAGGTGGTCTGATGGAAGTCAGTCTCCCCACACCTCCTCTCCCCACCCTGAGGAGACTGTGGCTCCCAGGCAGGTGCCCTCCCCTAAGACAGGCTCGGGAGCCTGGGCACCGAGGTCAGGTCCTGAGTGGCTGAGGCTGACTGACAGGGCCAGCCCCTGCAGGAGATCCAGGCCCTGGCTGACGAGATGGCAGACTGGGCAACCTCAAGGGGCAGGTCTGCGCTGCCTCACGGGATCGCGGTGAGACCCAACAACCGAGCACACGGGCATGAGGGCCTTCGAGGGTTTGTGGGAAGAGCCGTTCCTCTGAGTTCGTTTTCCCAGGAGCTTTCTGACGCCCACGGTGTGTGTCCTTCCTGCGCGTGTGCTGGTTTCCCCTCACTGGGCAGTTACCATTGGACTCTTGGGGTGCAACAAGGGCACTCTGCCAGAGTGACAGCAGAGGGGTCCCTCTGCATGGCCCCTCTCCATCAGCCCACCGCACTGTTCAACCCGCACTGAGGCCTCTGGGCCCTGCTCTCCGTCTTCTACCTGGCGGCTTTGTCTTGGAAGTAGCGCTGAGAGTCAGAGGTCTCCTTGTCACGTCCCCTCACACCTGATGTGTGTAAATGTGTACCAGGCCCCACGTAGCATGTCATGGGGTGGGGGCTGGGAGTGGGCAGGTGAGAACCAGGGCTGGGTCGGGCCGGAAGCTGAGGCCCTGGCTGCACTGAGGGAGCGTGGGAAGTCGTGCAGAGCTGCTGCTGCTGTTCACTGGCTCCTGGTGACACTGAACCCCAGAATGAAGCTTCACCCAGACCCGCGCCATCTTCATATCCTTCGTCCGTCTGAGTCCTCTGTGCATTTTGAGTGCCCTCTAATCTCAGGGGCTCACCTTCCAATGCTTTATGGGACAGTTATCTGGGAACTGAGCTTGGGCTCGTGTGTGGATGTGGCCAAGGCAGAATGGGCCCAGGTACCCCAGGTGTGGAAATTGTGTAGGGGACACTGTGTGCTGACCACTGCTGGGCAGGGTGTTTGGGGCAGGCTGGGTCTCACTGGGTCTTTGGCAAGGCCTCCTCTAGCCACACTGCCCATGTAGAGGATTGCCCTGCCACCAGGCCAGAAGGTAGCACCCCAGAGACCCCCTGGCTGGGGCGGGGGGCAGGCCGTCTAGATGCCTCACTGCTTTGTGGTATCGTTTCAGACAAGTGCCATCGGGTCCACTTCCAGCTGCCCTACCGCTGGCAGTTCTTCAGTGGAGGCAAGTGGAAGGATTTTGACAAAATGGAGATTATTGAAGAGACATACAGCGACCCCAGCAAAGAGAGGTATGTAGTGCGGCACCTGCTTTCTCTTTGAGCTTTTGTGGGCCGAGCAGGAGGGCAGGTGGGCCTGAAGGTAGAAGCGTCAAGGACATACCACTTACACTCACCCACATTCTACAGAATGTATACGCTCACTTCCCCTGTAACCAGCCTGTCCGAAGTGGGCATTTCTACTGGTGTCTGGTGACACTGCTCTCCCACCACCTTCTCAGGGAGGTGCTGTGGGAAAGGAGAAGGTGGCGTCAAGACTAGGTGATGCTCAGGTGTTGGTCACGTGCCTGGCCTCAGTCAGAGGGCCCTTCGAGGTCCCAGCAGTGGCCCTCACCCCCTGAGGCATGTTTCCTGGAGGTCTGGGCAGAGGAAACGGCAGTCCCAGGTGCTGAGTTTTCAAAAGCTTAACACATTGTGGCTTGGACTTGCTAAGATTTGTTGACCGAGAGGACAGCGACTCCTCCCCGGCCAAACTACCGTTCTGTTTCTCTTGCTGTAAAGCTCATGTAGCCCATGATCCCGTGGGCTCGGCACAGGTGTAGCCAGCATGCCAGGGAGGATGCACATTTGCCCCATCCAGAGAGACCCTCCTGTCTCCTAGTCAGTGTGCCCTGCCAGGCCACCGCCGTTGAGACCGCTGTCAACACACGTCTGCCCCTACCCACGTGTCTGCCCTTATGCAGGCCGTCTTTTCTCGGTCACCCTCAGTGCCACCTCCCCCTCAGCCTGTTTCTGCTCCACGCCCCCCTCCCTTGGCCAGTGGGTGTGTGCCTGCAACACATGGAGGGTCCCCTTAGCATGAGCTTTTGGTGTCTTCATGGCAAATCCTTCCCTGGCCTGGTTTTCCCTAATTTATTTGGAGAAATCAATTTTGGTCTTTTGATCTTCTTTAGAAATCTTAAAATCTGTTGTAATAAAAAAAATCTTAATTACATTGATTGCAGCTATTTTGGGAGAATTGACAGGTTAGGAATTTTTTGTTTGTTTTTTAAATCATTGGGGGCTCATACAGATCTTAAAATCACAATCCATACATGCATCCATGTGTCAAGCACATTTGTACATTGTTGCCATCATCATTCTCAAAACATTTTCTTTCTACTTGAGCCCTTGGTATCAGCTCCTTGATAATTTATAAATTATTATTATTTTATCATGTCTTACACTGACCGACATCTACTTTCACCCACTTTTCTGTTGTCCATCTCCCTGGGAGGGGTTTCTCATTACTGGTCCTGAGGGGTTTATCCTGGATTCTCTGTTTCCAGCTCTCATCTGTACCCGTGTACATGCTCTGGTCTAGCCAGATTTGTAAGGTAGAATTGGCATCATGATAGTTGGGGGAGGGTGGGGAGGAAGCATTAACGAACTAGAGGAAAGTTCTATGTTTCATCAGTGCTACAACTGCTCCCTGACTGGCTCCTTGCCTCCCCCTGACCCTTCTGTAAGGAGATGTCCAATTGCTTACAGATGGGCTTTGGGTCTCCACTCTGCACTGCCCCTCAGTCACAATAATAAGATTTTTTGTTCTTTGATGCCTGATAACTGATTCCATCAGCACCTCGTGGTCACTAAGGCTGGTGTGCTTCTTCCATGTGGACTTTGTGCTTCTCAGCTAGATGGCCGCATGTTTATCTTCAAGTCTTTAAGACCCCAGATGCTCTATCTTTTGATAGCTGGGCACCATCAGCTTTTTTTTTTTTTTTTTTTTTTTTTTTTTTACCACATTTGCGTATGCACCCGCTTTGTCTTCAGCGATTGTGTCAGGAAGGTGAGCATCATGGAATGCCAGGTTAATACAACAAAGTGTTCTTGCATTGAGAGAGTACTTGAGTAGAGGCCCAATGTCCATCTGCTACCGTAATCCTAAACCTATAAATACATGTCCATAGATCTATTTCCCCATTGTCATATATAAATCTGTTTACATATGTACCTGCCTGTATTTAGACCTCTATAAATGCCCTTTGCCTTCTAGATCTTTTCTCTATTTCCTTTTACTTTCCTCTCGTCCCACTATCATGCTCATTCTTCATTTGGGTTTCAGTAATTACTCTCGGTTACATTCCCCTTGATCAAGCCCTACCAGGCCTCCTCCACCCTCCGTCATCAATTTTAGATCACTTGTTGTTCCCTTGTCCCTGAGTTTGTTAACACCCACTTCGTTTCCCCCAACTCCCTCTCCCATGTCTCCCCCAGAACCGTCCTCCCATTGTTTTCTCCTCCAGATTGTTTATCCTGCCTATCTTATCTAGATAGACCTGCCGAGATAATAATATGCACAAACACAAGACAGCAACACAAAGCAACAAAAGAAAACAAAGCAACAACAAACCACCACCAACAACCAAATGCCTATAAATAGTTCAAGGTCTGTTTGTTGACCTTTAAGAGTGTTTTCCGGTGGAGTCTGATGGGGTGCCATGCCCTGGCCCCACAGTCTATTTTTGGTATTCCCCGTGGACTTCATTGCTCTGCTCCCCTTGCCGTTCTGTTACACGCCCTTATTGTTTTGCCTAGGTGAGGTGGGGTCAGATTGGGCACATTTCCTGCACTGTGTCTCCAGTGTTGTCCCCCCAGCACTATGGGTCAGTGAGGGAACGTCGCGTGTCGTAGTGGGACCGGCCCTATGGTCGTCCTCTCTGTGCATTGGCTGCTCTGAGTGGGGGTATTATCCTCAGGGCTTGGTAAGCTGGGATGTGCTCTACTCTCTCTCCCTCCCTTTTCGTTTGTTCCCGTGTGCTCTGATCAGACGTGTCCCTCTCCCTGAGCTGTAGCTTCAGTGCTGTCTTCTGAAGTGAATTATTCTGGGGGTAAGGGGATGTTCACTTAGGATTGGGGCCAGCCCCTCAGCCCTCTTTATTGGTTCCCTGCTTCACGGCGGTCCCGTCCACTTTTTGTAAAGCAGCTACGATGTCACCGTTCTCCCACCTTCATGCCCCCGTCAACTGGATGTTTGTTCTGGCATCAGCTTCAGCACAGCTGCATTGCTAGTCTTGGGTGCCTGTCCGGTTGCCATCTTGAGCTTCTTAGAGCCGCAGACTGGATGCTGTTGAAACAACCAGTTGTTGTCGTCAGTGCCCTGGAGTCGGCTCCTACCCACAGCGACCCCGTGCACAATGGTAGGAAGCACTGCCCGGTCCTGGCCGTCCTCACCTGTTCCTATGTTTGAGCCCGTTGTTGGAGTCACTGTGTCCGTCCGCCTTGTCGAGGCCCTTCCCCGACGCTGCTGTACGCAGCACAGGTCTCTCCTGACAACATGTCTGAAGTACGTGAGGCCAGGTCCACCCTCCTTGCCGCCGAGGAGCACTGACTGTACTTCCAAGATGTGCTTGTTCTTCTGACAGCTTTGAATATTCTCATACTGTGAATGTTCTTCACCAGCACCATAATTCAAATGTAGCACTGAGTTGGAATTGACTTGAAGGCAGTGAGTTTTTAAATTTTTATTTACTTTTTGAGGTATTTTTAAAATTTATAACAAGTGAATGTAAGTTTATTTTGGATCAGAGAACAAATAGAAATCCATGTGCAGTTTTTTTCCCATAGTAGACATTTATTTCATGAACTTTTTGAAGAACCCTCATGTTTACTTTACAGTATAGTTTAGGGTTCTGACTCGGCTTAGGTTAAGCTCAGGTAGGGTTCTGCTTAGGTTTAGGGATAGTGTGAGGCGTTTAGTATTAGGGTTAGGTTTAGGGATAGGAATATGATTCGGTTTCAAGTTAGGATTTGGTTCTTGGTTACTTCAAGTTTTCTTTGGGTTAGGCGTAGGGTCAGGCTCTGGGTCATGTTGGCTCTTAGTAAATCATGTGTTTCTGATGAGCATTTACACAGCAAGTTAGGTGTGATTAGACCCTTTTGTACAACTTGTGACACTGGATGTTTTTGCAGATCTGGGTGTGTCACCGTCACTTTGCACGAGCCACTCTGTGTTTCTTTAAGTTCTGTGTGGACCTTGCTTTGGCACATGCTCCTTTTGTCTGCAAGTGTCTTTATTTACCCTTGGACTGGAAAGAGGATTTCGTTGGGTATTTCCCTCACCTCTTGAAGCGCAGTCTCCCGTTTTCAGGTTTCGTGTCTCCCAGGGGGTTAATTTAGAGATTAGCTGCCGCTCTCAATGCAGGTCTCCTCTCTCCTGTGTGGCTGCTCAGA